AAATCCGTTAGCGCTTCACCACACGCCTTCATTTGGTTTGTTAGCGTCACTACTCTTGAGAAATATGCAGAGATAAATTCATCCTCTTTCATCTGCAGCATCTCATATTGCTTTCTCAAAGTCTGCAACTTCACTTTCTTTAATTTCTCATCTCCACCATACAAGGACTTCAGCTTTTCCTAAGCTCCTTTTGTTGTTTCTTCTTCGATTATCTTCTCAAATACATCACAATCCACACACTGGTGAATCAAGAACATCGCCTTGCCATCTTTCTTCCTCTGATCTTTGTGCGCAGCTGCCTAGGCTTCTGTAGCATTCACTTCCAGTTGTGATATTCCATAATTCAAGATTTCTACAACATCTTGAAATCTGAAAATAACCTTCATTTGTGCCACCCCTCGTTGTTAGTTTTCACCTTTGAAAACTGGTAGATTTTCTGGAAATTGTGTTGATGTTGTTGATTCGTTTGCCATTAAATTCACTTTGAATCGCAAACAAACTCTGATACCAATTTGTTGGAACAAGGGATTCAAGAAAGATAATATTGTGAAAAACAAAAAAAAAGAAGAAGAAGAAGAAGAGAGAGAGAGAGAGAGAGAGAGAGAGAGAGAGAGAGAGAGAGAGATAGAGAGAGAGAGAGAGAGAGAGAGAGAGAGAGAGAGAGAGAGAGAGAGAGAGAGAGAGAGAGAGAGAGAGAGAGAGAGAGAGAGAGAGAGAGAGAGATTGAGTTAGTTAAGTGTAACTAACTCTGAACTGAATTCAGTTATTATTGTTGCTTACTATTACAAACACAATGGCCATTTATATAAACAAAATAGTTCAGACCCAAATACATACTAAAAAGCTCAAATAACCACATAACAAAAATTAACCAACTAATAATGTTTCGCATAACTATAATTGATCTGACTTAAAGAGACAAAATAATATATCTTTTTGAAATCAAATTAACATGTATATTTATTGCAGATTAATTACACTAATGTGTTTATATTGTTAAGGTAGATTTGACGTGTGTCAATAAAGATTTTATTTTTTACTGGTCAAAATTTGTTTATTATATTTTGTTTTTATTTTGCTTTAGAAATTTAAATATAAAAAAACAGTGTTTTACTAATAATATGCTTTCTATTTTAAATTATAAGTCATTTTACATATAAAAAAATTGTATTCTACATTTTATAATTTTTTTAATATATATTATTTTCTCTTTTCTTTTCATTCTATTAATTTTAATTTGTCATAATATTTTTGAAAGATACTTTTTTGAAAGCAATTATAGAAATTATAATTTTTTATTTAAAAAATTATATGTATTTTTAATTTGTGTGAAATTAACAGATGACCTATAATTTAAAATACATGTAGTATATTTGAGAAATTGAATGTGTGTTTGTAAAAAAAGCTACAAAGTATGTAGATGGTAAGTGATATTAAAATAATTGATGAAGAAAACTAAGAAAGGTTAATTCAAAAATTATTTTAAAGAAAAACAAAAAGTACACTTTTTATTACTTATTATTAGTTAATTTTAATGTTTTAAATTTATTGAATAAGAAGTATATCAAATTTATATATTAATTAGATACATTGATTATTGAATGAATTTAAAAATTTTATATTTATTTATAATAAAAAATGAAAATATGAAGAAAAAAATAATGTATTCAATTCATATCCTGGACCTCATAAATTTTATTTTAATTAAATTATTATACCATTTTATTTGTTATTGAACATTTGTCTATAAATAAGAAATGCACTAAAGTCCAATCTATCATAATTAATTCATCCCTAAAAGAAAATGTCAAAAATGATACAGATACTGTTATTAGTTATGTGTCTGGTGGCAACTATTACTGGCCACAGAGATCATGGTATGCAGAGTGTGTTGAAAGAAGATTTGGAATTGGAGAGGCAACTAAACATCCTTAACAAGCCTCCTATAAAGAGTATTCATGTATTTTTCACATGATTTATTGGAGGTTTCAATTGGTTCTATTTGACATTTTTTTCTAACAAATTTATTTTATTTATTTTGGTGACTTTCATAGACAATGTCAGGATATATAGTTGATTGTGTTGATATTAACAAACAACCAGCTTTTGATCATCCTTTATTAAAAAATCACAAATTACAGGTAAAATAATTTAGTCTATATTACTTTTAATTTATATTTTATGACTTGTAAAAATTGTTTGAATCTTCATTGTTGTTTTTTTTGTTGTAGAAAAAACCAATTTTTGAAAGAAACATCAATGAAATTAGAGTTCAAAATTTACCAATCAAATCGATATCCATATTTGAGAAAGTTAGATGTCCGGAAAGAACCGTTCCTATTCGGAGAACAACAAAAAATGATTTAATTAAAAAAAAGTCTTTATTCAATGCTTATAATCTATCTCAAAATGGATCCATTAATCATGTAAGTTTTTTCATATATATTTATATATTAATTTATTTATATAATTAACATATATTATCTTTTTTAATGAATATGTGAATCTATTAAAACTGAAATTGTAATTCGCTCGTTTGTATCTTTCAATAAGGGGTTCTCCTTATTATGGAGTTAGTGGAATTACTAGTGTTTGGAATCCAAATATTTATAAAGGTCAATCAAGTGCAGGTCATTTATATTTTAAAAGAGGAAAAGAAGATGATATTGATAAAATTTCGGTCGGATGGCATGTGAGTTTAAATTTGTTCTATAATTTTAATTTTTGTTTATTCTAAAAATATGTATATATGTATAAATATAAATTTGAAGACTTGTGAATTATTTTGTGATTTATTTCATATTTGATGTTAGGTGTTTCCGGAATTATATAATGATAATCAAACACATTTATACTTATTTTGGACAGTAAGTAAAGAGTTATATATTATTTAATATTTAATTATTAATAATTTTATATAACTGACATAAATTTTTATGAATAATTTTATTATTGTTGTCAATATTTTTTATATTTTATTAATCTCAATTTATATGTTATTTAGTTAGAAAATCAAAATACTTGTTTTTCAAAGCATAACACGGTATTAAAAAACCACAGTCAGGTAAAAATGGATGCTTTAATATGCTATGTAAGGGTTTCATTCAAGTTGACAGATCATACATTTTTGGTGCACGTGTATCTAAAACATCTACTTATGGCGGAGAGATAATGGAAGTGGCACTTCAAATTTCAAAGGTAAACTAATCTCTTTACATATATTTAAATTTATAAATTATGTAATGTCACTTTTCAAGTTGTAATGCTATCAAGTGTTGAAGTTCAAAGAGATGCTATATAAAATATTATAGATTATATACATCTTAAATGATATTATATTCTTTTAATTTAATCATAAGCTTTTGAGTTAATACAATTCTAATAGTAAAATATTAAAATATTGTGGTGTTGAGGATAATGTAGGCAATTGGTGGTTAAAAGTGCTAAATAAGGATATTGGATACTTTCCTGCAGCTTTATTCTCCTCATTGAAAGGAGCTGATCAAGTGGAATTTGGTGGTTATACTGTAACTCCTGCGGGTACTGATAGCCCTACAATGGGCTCCGGACACAAACCTGATGGTGACTTCACTCATGCATCTTATTTTAGGTTTGTAAAACATTTGAATATAGTTCAAGAACCTGATGATCCTCTACCATTTATGGTAGAAATAGACAATGATGCTCCTAATTGCTATGGAGTTACGAACTATGAAGGCAAAAAAAGACATATGGGATATTCTCTTCAATTTGGAGGACCGGGTGGTAAATGTTAATACTTAATTATAGTGAACAAATTTATATGTAATAAAGAATTCTAATAATATGTGGCCAATATAATTTGTCTTTTTTAATTAAATATTTTTAAAATTTTGAATTTTAAAAGTTTTTAAAGGAGTTTTATGGTCTAATAATATAAAATAAAATAAAAAATACCATTGTTTTATAAGTTAGCAATAAAACATAGGATAATATTTGAAGGAATCTTTGATTTATCTACAAATTTTAATGTTCAACTTAATATAAAAAATTATTTATTCTTTTAGTATCAGTTAAGAAAGTACACGCGAGATTACTATTTTAATCATCAATAATTCCTTTCAAGCATCTTTTATATCATGTTTCACAATCAGTTTTGTTAAATTGTAATTCAATGTGTCGAAACTATGTGTCGAAAAGATTTGATTTGTTTTATATTTAAATAGATTTGATTTAAGTCTAGAATAAATTAGATTTGATTTAGTAACAAAAAGATATTTTGGGTTTTGGGCTTAGGGTGTAAGCTCAGTTATAAATAGAGGGAGTAACCCTATTTTTGTAAGCAAGTCAAGCAAGTCAAGCAAGTCATTCACAGTATTTTGCAGTTGCAAAGTGAATAATAAAGTTTTCACAGTTTGTGAGCAGAGAGAAACTCTGTAGAAATTATTTGTCTTGTCTTCTTTTCTTTGTTTGTCTCATGATTAAATTGTCATTGTGGTAGAAATTCATCATAGTCTTTTGGTGGATTTCCAACATCTGGTATCAAGAGCTTTGTTTCGATTCAAGGGAAGTGTCTATCAAGAACGATTGAAGAATTCATGATGACAAGTTATGGGAATGCAAATTATCCAACAATCCTACCAATTCTGAAAGTTGACAACTATGAGAATTGGTGCAAACAGATGAAAGTTTTATTCAGGTGTCAAGGTCTTTGGGACCTTGTAAAAGATGGAGTCGAAGCGCTTGGAGAAAACGCTTCAGAAGAAGAAAAGAAGAAACACGTAGAATCTGAGAAGCTGAGTTATAAAGCATTATTTATAATTCATCAATGTGGCAGCCCATACAATTTCGAAAAGGTTAGTGATTCAGAATCTGCAAAAGAAGCTTGGGAAATCCTTGAGAAGTCTTTTGGAGGCGCTGAGAAAGTGAAAGAAGTGAGGTTACAAACTCACAAAAGGACCTATGAACTGCTTCAAATGGAAGACAGTGAAAGCATATCTGATTTCTTCACTAGAGTTACAAAACTAGTAAATCAAATCAAGATATATGGAGAAGCATTAACAACAAGAGTTATTGTGTCGAAGATCTTGAGATCTTTAGCTCCTAAGTTCGACCACATAGTGGTGGCGATAGAAGAGGGGAAAGACTTGTCTAAATTGACAAAGGAAGAGCTTCAAGGGACGCTTGAATCTCATGAACAAAGAATGAACGAAAGAGCTGCAGGAAAATCGAAGAGTGATGTGGCCTTGCAGGCACATTCAGCAAAAGAGACCAAAGGCAAAGGAAAGTGTTTCGACAGAGGTAGAGGTGGCTACAACAAATCGAATGGTAGAGAAAACCAGATTGAAGGAAACGTGTCGAATCAAAGAAGACCATACCAAGGAAACCAAAGAGGTGGTGTTGCAAATAGAGGAAGAGGAGGTGGTCGAAAACCTGATAAGAGTCACATTCAATGTTATAATTGTTAGAAGTATGGTCACTGTGATCGGTGGATCTGGAACTGACTGTTTAACGCTGGTTCGCGAAATGTCGCGGAAGCAAGAGTCGCCACCGTCTTTTATTTTCTCCAAATGGAAAGAACAAAAGCACAGAAAAATTCCTTATAGAGATTGCTCTCGGTTCGGGAGGTAGATTATAGAAAGGGAAGGTGTTAGCACCCTTTCTATCCATGGTTATCCATGGGCTCTTAGATACTTGCTCACTTGTGTTTTCAAAAATGGTTTGTTTGCTTTTCAACTGTGGGTTTTAAAAAGTTTCTTTGAAAATTTCAGTTCGACTCTTGTATTGGTCCTCAAGAGTGTTTGAAAAATTGCTTTCGAAAGCTTTTTGAAAATGTGTTGGTGTGAAAAGTATTTTTGATTTGTTTTGAAATTTAGAGCAAGTATCTAGAGTCGTCTACCTACCCTAAGGAATTCGTCTGTGTAGATGTCCTTAAAGTAGTGCCATCCCACCATTGAGAGGTAGGTAGCACCACCGTTGGAGGTGTTCGGGTCAATTCGAGGTTCGGGGCATGGTGATCACTAGAGCAATGGGAAGACACCTTAGAAGCTACCCTCATGCCAGGTTCCCGGATCATGAGGACTTACTAAGACATCCTCTACTCGACGATCACCTTTCGAGGCAAGGCAACAGTGAGGCGTACCCTAGGGGTGGTGTGTGATTTGTGTGTCGTTTTCATTTGTATTTATCTTGTCATGTTATTGGTGATCTAGCGTTTGTTTTTTTATTTTTGTCCATACATTCTTTCATGCCTTGATTAACAGTTAAAAATTGCGAAAAGTAAAAGATTCTAAGCTATTACAAAAGGCGCGGGTCCACATCGCCAAAATTTCCAGAACCCGATTTGACAGAAAATATAAAGAAGTAATGAAAATAAAGTGCGAGCAATTAGTTACAAGGCCCTGGGAGAGATACATTAATATTAAAAGAAATAAGATAAATGCGCGAATTAAATGAGAATTAAACGAAGGCGTTGGACCCTTTTTACAAAATTAAATTAAACGATGAATTAATTAAAAAAGAATTGTTTTTGGTATTTTTTTGGTATTTTAATGGGAAAAGAATTAATTAAAATTAAACCTAATTCTAGTTGTTTTTAATTTATTAAGAAAAGATTAAAGTTTAACCTAAAATTAACCCTAATTAATTTACATGCAATTTAATTATAAAAATAAATATTTAATTATTTAATTATTATGAGAGAAAAATAAAAAGGAATAAAAATTATCATAAACCCTAGTTCTACAAATTTTAAATTAATTATGAAAACATTACTATTAAACCTAATTTAATAACTAAATTTAATTAATGTAATTTATTTATAAAAAATACTAAAATAAAATATTTATTATATTTTCTCTTTTTCTGATTTTTTAATGGTATTGTGTTCTTATAAAAAATAATAATAATTAAATTGATAGAATTAATTAAAAGGAAATAATAATAAAAAAACAAAGAAAGTAAAATAATTTGGCAAACCTAGGGGGGTTGCAGTCCCCAAAGTGGAGGTTTTCTTTTAGAAATCTGGCCCATTTACCCTTGGCCCGTTGAACTTTTCAGGACGCGTGTACACGTGTTGACTAGGGTGCATCCTGTTCTTGAGATCTGAACCCTTAATTGAATCCATTGGCCACGTGAACAGCCTGATCTTGAAGGTGTATGGTACGTCTACCACGTTGAGTCTGCATACGAACATTAGTTGAAAAAAGATATGGAAAGGGGGTGAGGACCTGGGGCTCGAACCCAGGTCCTGAATGTTACCAATGAGCGCGCTTGCCAACCCTGATGTCTTGCATATCTGTAAGTAACATAATAAATAAATATAATAAAACAAAAACGTTAAATGCTTCTTTTTTCGCGCGCGCGATTCAAACAATCCAATTGCTGAAGGCCACCTCATCTTCTTCTTCTTTATTCCCTGAAACAAAGAGATTGGCAACGGTTTTGGCACCGTTCCAGAAGAGGCCATAATCCAAAATAGCGATTAGCTCTAGGACGCTCATAAATTGAGCGCGAGGGTGGATTCATGATCGTCCAACCAAGCTTGTTTCAGTAGGCTAAGTCTTGAACGCCAATTTTTCCTTATTTGAAAAACCCTAATCCAAGGTCCTGGAAACCCTAATGAACAACAATGGCATATTTGCGTATAGTGCATAAAAATACAATTAATCCATATGGTTAGCTTCAGAATACATTACTCAGTATAAATACACAATCAAAATGCCATGAAAACGTCTAAATCTTGAAATACGATTTTGAAAAAAATATGAGAAAACTGGATTTCTGTATACCAATTCTGGGCGTGGGGATGATCGATTTTGATTGGAACACGTTCTATAATCCTCAAGGAAGCTAATGGAATCACTATTTGGTCTTGAATCGCCCTGCAAAAGTGTTTTCAGAATTGAGTTTTTTTGATAATTTTCAAGTTTGCCAATGATGTTTTCTGCGCAGCTTAGTGGTCAAATGCATTAGGTCTTGCTTGCTTGTATATGTAGGAATGATTAGGGTTAGAAAACTTGATCCAAATCTCTTGCATTCATGAATAGGATACTTGGTTTTTAAACATGATTTTCAAATCTTTTTCACATGCTTTTTGATACAAATCATGACCAATCCAATTGATTCTTTCCATATTTGGCTAGGCACGAAATCTTGAGGATATAACATGCATAAAAAGATTGAAAAACTTAGGTTAATTATTTTTCATGTATTTAATTGATTTAAATGAATTATTATTAATAAAAATTCAAATAAATAAATAAAAAATGAAGAAAAACTTACCTTTGTGCCTAATGGTCGTGCACATGCCTTGGATGATGAATTGTGGAAGAAAAATAGGCCCATTAGCAATTTTAGGTCATTTGAACCAATGTTGACTTTTCAAAATATCCAAAAATTTCCCAACTTCCACAAGGCATAACTTGCTCAATTTTTAAGCTTTGCTCATGTTCTTGGACATTTTGGAAAGGTCTTTGAGTCCTCTAACCAATGTCTTTGGTCCCATGTCATTTTGTTTCACCAATCTCAAGTTATGGCCTTTGACTTAAAGTCCCTTTTTGTTGACTTTTGAAAATGACCTATAATGTTGAAATTGATAACTTTTTGTGAGGGCATTTCTTGGACTTAAAGTATGAAGATGCGTTGTTAGAAATGTCTTTCTCTTCAAAATGAGTTTTGGATGGAATTTTTCTGATAATCCATGTGAAAGTTATGCCCTGGTCAATTTACAGTTGACTTTTTCAACTGTCCAAATAAGGAAACTTTTTGCATCTTGATGATTTTTGAGCCAAACTTT